CAGGAAATGCAAGTTAAAACCACAGTGCGATCCTCCTGCACCCTCACCAGATCAGCTAGAATTAGAAAGACTGACGGTGCCATTTCCCAGTGAGGGTGTGCAGCAGCTAGCTGGGGGCGACTTTCACACCTTCTCACGCAGAGAGTAAAACCTCGGAGAAAACACATCAAGGAAAACACGCACTTTTTACCCTAGGGCCAAACAACTCCACTCCTGGGTCTTCACCCAAGAGAAACGGAAGCCTGTAGCCAGAGAAGGACGGGAACAAAGATGTTCACAGCAGCCTTAGCTATAACACCCCAACCACGGGGATAAACCACATTCTTATACCAATAAATAAACAGCGATTACATTCGCACAATGGAATGTCGCTCACTGGTAACCAGGAATGAACAGCAGTGGCAGTGATGGACCCCAACACAAGGCGCAGAGCAGAGACCGCGGGACCTCCAGGAGCACCACACCCTCTGACTCCACGCTGCAAAGTTCTAGGGTGAGGAGCACCAACTGGGGGGACAGAAATCCGAACAGGGGTCCCCTCTGGGCGATTATGGGAGTTACTGGTGGGATGGACCCCAGGGAACCTGCAGAAGTGAAAGGGAGCTTGAGTTTGCAAATGACAACTGCACACGCCGCTGGCAAAATCACTGAACTGGATGAAGACTTGCGATGGATTTGATATACAGTGTCCGAATTGCACCTCAGTGAAATTCGTATGTGAAAAGCAGGCAGGGTTTGGGGTAAAACTGCACTAGGGGTTTGTGAAATTCGATGCAGGAAGGCAAGTCGCAGCCTTTGGGCAGAGCTACCGCAGGCCGTGGGAGTCTGACGCCTGGTACGGGCGTCCATGGGCGTCGCCGCCCTGTCCCAGCACTGCCTCTTCCCCCCGAGGCAGCGTGGTGATGCTTGTTCTGCTGTCACTTTCTACAGGGTCCTCTAGAGAGGGTTCCTGTGCACCAGCACCTGGTGAGCACAAAGAGGGTCCTGCTCCCCTGAGGAGCCACACAAATGGGACCCTGAATAAGGAGAGGAGTCAGCCAGCAACCGAAGGATGGGGTGGGTGAGCAGAGCTCAAACTCTGTCCTACATCGGACCCATCGGTCTCCACGCCAAGGCCACAGCCCAGACAAACCCGATCAGACTTGCTGGCATGGGACCAGGCAATGGTAGTGCTTCTTCCTTAAATACATCACAGGTGACTCTCGGGTACAGCTGAGGTCAAGAACGCATTCCTGGTGGAGGTGACAGCAAGGGCCAAAGCCAGGAGTCCCCGGGGAAAGACCCCAGTGTCTTGTGTAGAAACTGAGCGCCAGGAAGGGCAGGCAAGAAGGCAGCCAGGGGGCAGTGGCTGAACAACAGGTCCCCCCACCGCATCCCCCCATCACCTCAGAACGCGCCTTGTTTAGAAATGAGGTCGTTACAGATGTCATTAAGGTAAAGGCAGAAGAGACTGTCCTGACTTAGAGTAGTGGCTGAATCCAATGAGCGGATCCCTAACAACTGAAAAAGAGCCCCGGAGACCCCCGGAAAGAAAAGGACCATATAAGGAAGGAGACAGAGATCAGAGGGGTGCAGCACAGCCATGAGCACCCTGAGCACCAGCAGCCCCAGCTGGAGAGACTCCCCAATCTCTCCCTCAGTGCCTCCAGGGCAGCTGCACCCCGCAGCTTCAGGCTTCTGGCTCCCAGTGACACAGCATCTCGAGGTTCTGAGCCACCAATGGAAATCGGTCACCAAAGTCTAGTAACTGACAAGGGCCAGGGGTTCGGTCACAGAAGGGAGCAGAAGTGACACTGAGGAGAGGCACGTGCCAGCGGGGGGAAGGCTGCCAGCGTGACCCACATGGAGACTTGTCTTTGGGGACACCAAGATTGTTCCCGCTAACCTTTGTCATGGGAGGGCCATTTTCTGCCCACAGTGAAAGGGCAGGGACTGTTGAAGCTCAGCAGAGTCCTGGTGAGAATCGGGGAGAGGGGAGAGGAAGCTGAGGCCCCTCTGGCCAGCACTGCAGCCCCAGTGGAAGCTACAAATGGAAATGTGGGTGTCAACCTGCAGAAGTGAGGCTGGACCAGCAGCAGTCAGCACGCAGATGAATAGAAGAAAGCTCTTTTCTAGGTTCTCACGGGGCTCTCCAAAGAGAATCTGTGGTTTTTTACTAGATTCTGAGAACCACCTCTGTTTCCCAAGAATAAACGGCTCTTCCAAAGTCAGTCAGCCAGCCTTGCAAATAAACACCCGCCCACCCCTGCTCTTTCTATCTGCTCCCCTCCCCAGCAGGTACACACTAAGTCGGTCAGTGAATATTTATCTTATACACTCTGTGTTGGTCTGAGTTACTCACTGTCAATAAATATTTGTTGTGTGTGTCCCTACAGATGATAGTGTAGGTCAGTGAGGGAGCAAATATTTATGGAACTCCTGGACACTAGTCTTGGAAAAACAGAACAAAAAGGTAATAACAAGATGAGACTCTGGGTAAGGAGCAGGGCTGAGGGTTGCGTGGTGGGCTACAGGACGGGGTGCGTCACAGAACTCAAGAGAAGGCTTTCTGCAGAAGTAGAAAGCTGGAGACGGGCTTTGCCACCTACTCAGTAAAAATGGATGAATCATTCTACCAAGAAAGCCTCAGTTTCTTTCTCTGTCAGAACAAGGTTGATGAATCAGTTGAATGCTCTTTATATAGAAGAAAAAAAAAAAAGAGACAGATTTTCAAGATTCACACTACTTTCTAACACCCTCCTCATAGGAGGCCCCTGTAGTTCAACAATGATCCTGAAAGTCTCAGCTTGACGTCAGCTTGCTGCAGACCAGGCCGGCCTGCAGAGTGAGTCACTGCCTGAAAGGGGAGGTGCTCACTGTCGGCTCAAAATCCCCCCAGTCACTGGGGAAGAGCCTGCATTTCCTCCCATGAGCATCCTGAAGTGTTTGAAACCCAGATGGGGTGGAGCAGCCACCACGACCAGCATTTGGGGGCCAGGGGCGGGGTCTGCTGAGCAGAGGAGGGAAATTCCGGGTTCCTCCGTGAACATGATTCTCAATATCTATGTTTGCCGCCTGCTGCAGGGTCCCTCTCGCTCCAAGCTCAGAGGGCAGAGTCCCATGGACTCAGCTGATCTGTCTTGACCTGAAATGTCAGAAGGAATTGGGGGGCTCCTTCGTTCTGTTTCCAGGGGCCAGCCAAGGCCGAACTCCAGCTACTCTCCTGGAGGGGCAGTCTTTCTCCTCCCTCTCTATATAACACTGCCGCACTGTCCCTGAGCTCACCTGTTCCTCAAGATCACCTCTGATTAACAGCGGCCAGAACATTTTTTAATTTCTCACCATTTGTGCGTGCATGCATGCATGCGTATAGGGGAGATTGCACCAGGGTTTTGTGCATGCAAACCCCTTATTCTTCCACTGAACTATACTCCCAAAGCCAGTTGCCATTTTTTAGAAGTCAGAAAATTCTCGGTTTATCCTTTAAAATCAGAAGACTTGGCCACAATGGGTGCACGCTCTCATGTGAACACACTGGCTGAGCTGGGTGAGCAGAACCCATCTAGGCTGAGGAATGTGCCACACTGGTCCCAACTCTATTCCTCTCAAACGCCCACCATCCACCCTGCTCCATTCCTTCCCCGTCGCTCCCCAGCCTGTGACACCTCCTTATGGCATAATTTAACACGGAACATGAGTACAACAACATAAAATATCCTTAGACTTAAAAATTCAGATAAACAGCTTTTGCCTCTGAAACAATGTTTACACTTTTCTTCTTACGCTTTTGAAAAGAACTCCTAAACAACTTCAGAAGTGCAGCAAGACAATAAGCTTTCTCATGTCTCACTGCAAAAATTCCTAATAATTATTTCTCTTCTGACAAGTACCTACGAACAAGCTGGGAGTGGTGGCACATGGCTGCAATCCTACCACTCTGGAGGCTGAGGCAGGAGGACTGTCTTGAATCCATAGCCTGAGCTACATAGTGAGTTCAAAGATAGATTCAGCTACGTAGCAAGATTCTGCCTCAAAAACAAAGAAGAAACCAACACAAAACACAAGCTCACACCTACTTCTGAACCCAGCAGAACTGGGCCAGGTGTTCCGTTCGGTGCCTACTTTATACCATATTGTGAAAATCCTCTGCAACTACCCTGTAAGCTTGCTGAAGACAGGGAAAATGTCTTGCTCCTTGAGGCTGCACAGTACCTAGCACACCCCCTGACACAAGAGAGACCTCAGTGCACACCTATGGGTGGGCGGAAGGGAGGGGTTGAATGTGATTCCTGCCTGCACAAGCTGGGGCTCAAATCCAGCCCACCACTTCCCAAACAGTTCCTCAGCTACCCTATCAAATGTGCATAAGGACTCCAGGCAGCCCAAAGACAGCTGTGAGTACCCCACAAAGGAGCAGCAGAGTCCACGCTCAACAAATGAAAGCCACTGTGACGGCACTGTTATCTGGGTGAGAGGAGGAAAAGAAACAGGGTGCTGTGTACAGTGAACTCACCCCAAATACACCTGCCCTTTTAAAGACTAGAGCAATAGACATTTCAAACATTCTAAATAAGGCTGTCAGCTCCTTACTGCCCATTAGCCATACTGTTTTTTAATTTCCTCTGAGGCCATAAAACCTTCCACAAGTAAACAGAAGCAGAGATAAACCTGCACATGTGGTCTGTCCCTGGCCCTTCTGATCATCTTGAATCAACTTCTCTGTTTGCTCTGCCTTGTGAGGATGGAGCCCAGGGCCTTACACATGCTAGGCAAGCACTCTGCCACTGAGCTACGTAAACATCTGTTCTTTATTTCTCTTTCCGAGGAGTGGGCTAGAGATGGAACCCAGGTGCAGGCTGGGCAAGTGCTGCACCACTGAGCTAGGCCTCCAGCCAAACTGACCATTTGTCCTCCCTTGTGGGTCCCCTGTGCTTTGCAGGCCATCAGGGTGCCCTGCCAGGTACCCCGCCCAGAGCAGAACCTCACATGCAGGACACTTTCCCAACACGAGCCCCACTTACAGCACTCAATGGGGTTGGAGGCCGTCTGCAAGGAGACGATGCGGCCGCTGGACTCCGGGATGTGGACCCGGAACACCAGGCGCACCCGGGTGTTCTTCCTGCCGATGTCCGTCTCGCCTTTGCGCAGCTCGATGTCGGCATTCCGGAGCTTCAGGATCCCCGCGCAGTCGATGCTGCGGGGAGAGCAAGAAGCCCATTGGTGACCGATCAGCTGGGGAGCAGGAGCAGTCACCAGGCCGGCTGCCCCAGGCGGGAGCAAACCAACAGCAGCCAGCCCCAGCCGCCTGGTGTGTCCGCCAGAGGTGTCTACCAAGGCGGCCACCAAGGGGAGAAAAACTTGCAAAGTAATCAGAGAAATTCCCTAGCTGAAATCACTTCTCTAGGGTTATTTTTCACTGTGACTCCTCTACTCTCAAAAAGTAGCTGAAAAACTCAAATATGTAACCCATGATAATCACAGACAGTCCCGTCGGTAAGAAGAGTGTGCCAAATTCAATCTGAGTGTGCTGTGCATGCCTGGTGGTGTAAGACAGCATACTTAGGGCCAGGGATTTAGCTCAGCGGCATAAACACCTGCCTTGGAAGCAGGCAGTCGTGAGTTCGATCCCTGGTACCGATAAAAAGGAAAAAGACAAAAAAAAAAAAAAAAAAAGACAGCATACTTTTGGTCTTAGGCAAAGCATGCGTGAGGGATTTAAGGTCAGAAGTAGCTGTCAAATATCTTAGGGAGGAAAAATACAAGTGATAAAGGAAATGTGAAAAAAGTTAACAGAAAATCTATGCGAATGATATTCAGCAATTCATGCCTTCTTACAGCTTTTCTGTAACTTGCAGTGTATTTTTTCATAATATATTTGTATTTGTGTGTATATCCAACACAGGTGTGCTGTGTTTCCCGACTTTTAGCCATGGACACGCAAGCTTTATGTCTTTGATTTCTGCATCTTTTTTTTTTCTTTTTTTTTGGCAGTTCCGGGGACTGAACTCAGGACCTAGCGCTTGCCAGGCAGGCGCTTACACCACTGAGCTAAATCCCTAGCCCCAATTTCTGCATCTTGACCCAATCATTTCCTTACGTGAAATCGATTTTTAAAATGTACATAAATTTAACCTCATAAAGCAACATGATCCAAAGATGCATGAGTATTCTCCTTCCTGATAGCCGAAAATATTCACCTAAGGTAGCTTTACAATAGAAACTTTTTGTGGAAAAGGTTGAGCCGCTCAGGGGTTTGCACACTGCTCCCACCTCCTGCAGAGCGCCCGCTGCCCCAAGCCCCGCCCCCGCTCCCTCACTTCCGGGAGAGGCCCCGCCCCCCGCCGGCGCTTACGTCGCCCTCATGTTGTTCTTGGGCTCCAGCGGGATCTCCAGGACCTTGGTGTTGCCCACGATCTTCTCGTAGCTGGTGGTGGTGACAGTCTTCCCCGTGATCCGGTGCACTTGGTAGAAGGCGTGGGGCTTCAAGATCCGCTCGTCCGCGGTGCCAATGAAGATCTGAAGCCCCAAAGGTTTGTTTTCCATGTAGCCGTGGAGCTGGGGGGAGAAAACAAATATGCAGGGTGTGATGGCTCTAGTCTGACAACCAAATGAAATCCAAGGAGCTGCTGGGCCAGAGAATATGAGATTCTTAGATATCATCGTCTGCGTGAATGAAGATGCAGAAATGGGCTTGATGTCCAAATGCTTGAGATCCCTCTAAAGCAAGTGTTAGGCAGCCGTGAGAAATAACACAGCAGCTCAGAACTGCATTCATGGAGAAGCAGCCAGACACCGTGGTCAACTGGTGACCGAAGGCCTGTGGTGATGGGGGGAGTTGTCACGTGGGAGGGAGGGCAGAAAATGACCCGGAAGAGAAACAGCGCTCTCAACTACAGCTGCCTGGGCGATAAGGAGGAAGCGCTGTCGCTTCTCCACGTGACAGACTTTTTAATATTTCAGTTAAAAAGTTTGACAGTTCAAAAAGAAAAAAAGGAAAAACACAATAATCTAATTTTAAAATAATTAAAGATGGGGAAAAATTTGTAGAACAAGAACAGGCAAAAGATTGGCATGTAGAATACACAAAGGATGCCTGTAAGTACGTAAGAGACAAGACTCCCCGCCAGCCTCATTAAAAGTCCCACGTCCAGAGGACTTTCCCAGCACCTTCTCTTTCCAAAATCCAAAATAATGCACTATCCAGTTTCTTGTACTCTGTGCCTTAGTTTTTTTCCAACAAATAAGCCAGTACTTCTTTGACAGCACATGTATCTGTCTGCGTCACTTGCCACAAAGATACCCAGCGCCTAGAACAATGCTTGGCACATAGGAGGCCTTCTGAGGGAATTAATACAAACTGTGCAACAGAAGAGTGGCAAAATGTTTGATCAGGCAGTTCTCAGCGAACAGAAATGGCCACTGGGACAGAGAAGGGTCCATGTGACTTGCAAACAGAGAATTCAAATGAACCCAAAGTCACTGGTTTTCACCTGTTAGATTGGCACATGTGTAACGTGGTCAGACCAAGTGCTTTGGACACTGAGGAGGAGAAGGTGGTCTACAGCTGGTGGGAGTAAAAACTGCCATGACTGTTGTAAAGCAGGGCTCCACAGCTCTAATGAAAATATACACACATCGAAGAACAGACACTCTGTGATCCGATAATCACCCAGAAGCATGTACTCTGCACCTGCGGGCATGTACAGTTTATTCAGGAGTTTCCTACACAGGTATAATGATGGTCAGTGATATATATATATATATATATATGTAAAAAACTATACATACGTATGTGTGACCCAAAAATATCTAGTACATATTTTTCAGGGGAAAAAAATATGTCAAAATCTACACATTATGAAGCAATGCAGACTGTTTTACATCCATCCACTCGTACATGCACAGAGACAAAAAGAAAAGATATAAAAGGACAAACTTCCAACTGACCACAGCATGACCACCCCCAGGACGGGTGAGCTCAAGATCGAGAAGGTGGTCAGAGGCCCCTGACTTCACACACCATGGTAAAACGAGCACATTCCAGGGAAGCTGGCTACTTTAATGAGTTGAGATATATTGTATATGTCATGATATGTATGTGTATATGTATATAATTTAATGTCAAAGTCAAGCCAAAAATTCGCTCAATTCTCCCCACTCACCAGCAGTAAAAAACGCCAGGCCAGTCATCCAACCCTTGTCTGCCTACTCTGTTTTCTCTGCAAATTTCGAGAGGCTCTGACAACTTAGCTAAGATCCTTCCCTTCTCTGAAGTTCTACAGAACCTCAGCAGAACCTCCTGTCACCTGCCACAAAACAACAGGTTCCAGAGTGCCGGAGAGAACTCGTGGTCCCCAGTGGCGCTGTCCAACCGAGGCGCCACTGCCCATACATACACACTAAACGAGAAAGCAGTTGGAAGCCAGTTTCTGAGTCGCCCTGGCCCCTCAGGGCCAGAAGCTGCCACAGTGGACAGCACAGACCAGAGCATTCCCCGCGGCAGGATGCGCTGTGGACACGGGCTGTCTAGAACTCTAGTGTCCCCTTCTAACAGTGACACAGAGACAGGCTGGGGATGGAGCAGAGTGGGGTGACAGCCTTTCTCATAACCCGCAGGGCTGACACCCACAACATTTACATAAATGTCTGGTACCCACCCAAGAGGCGGCCGTGGGCAAAGATAAAAGCCCAAGTCAGAAGCCGCTTATCTGAAGATCAGGTGACTTCTCAGAGGCAAAAGTCAGAAGAATGGCAGCGGTGGGAACAAAAGTTGATTCTGCTGGTTCTGCTTCGCATTGGAACCCAAGATAAATACATTTCCTAATCTCTCCTGGATTTCTTGGCATTGGTGAGGACAGCCTCAGAGTCACGAAGACAGACCGGCAGGACAGACTGAAGGTTCACAGCCCACACTGCTGCTCCCTCCACGACAGAAAAGCACAGGTGGCGTGTTGGGTGGACGTATGGGATTCGGCCAGGGAACGCCTGGAGATAAACCTGTCCCACTCTACATGAGTCTGACCACTTCTGGCCCCTCCCTGGGGTGTGCAGTGCCCAACCGCCTCTTGCTGGAGCAGCACAGTGTCCTTTTAAAAATGCAAATCAGATCCTGACACTCCCTCCTTATAACCCTCCTGACACCTGCCGTGGCCTTAGAATAAAATCCAAGCTTGAAAGTTCCTTGGCCATTGAGGGTTCTCACAGCACAGCCTCTGCTCCCTCTCTACACCTGTGAGGCTACTGCTAACACCAGCCTTTCTGTTCACTGAACACTCAGAGTAACCTCAGGACCTTTGCACAAACTGTTCTCTCTGCCTGGAGTACTTTTCCACCGTGCATTTAGATTTCATATCTGCCCTTTCCTGGGCTACCAGATTCACATGCACCCAGTGCCAGAGCCAGCTCTTCCAGTCTCACAAGAACCAACTGCTTAAGAATTTTAAGAATCAGCTGATACCACTTTGATGCCTTGGGTAAATGCTACAAAGCAGAGCTTTTTTTTCTGGAGAATTGAAAGGGCAGCTTTCACTCCACTGGAATTCTGACTTCATTCTGTCGCACCTGCCTTGTTTAGTAGTTTGATTAGTCTCTCTCCTGAGTATAAATTTCACAGTAATAGAGATCTTGGTCCTTCAGTTTGGCCAATGGCCGTCCATGAAGAAGTCGCCAACACACGATGCCTGCCTCCCTCGTGCCAAACACAGCACTCCGTGCTCTGCACAAGTCACACAACTCCATGCCGCCCAGGCCAGTGGGATGCGTCTGCATCCATCCTGCACAGTAAGAACACTGCCCCACCCTCTCCAGAAGGTGTAGGCCTTGCCCAGAGCTGCCCAGGATGATCCTCACCAGCTCTCAGAAGGTTTCAGCAGGGGAACACGTGGCCACTTACTCGCCTCTCCCAAAGCTCGATCTGGGTTTTGCAGACAGATCGAGAGCCTGAGATGACATGACCTGACCTGGGTCATGAGGCTTCGGGGTGGTCCTCCCAGGTCTCTCCAGCTGGGATGCCTGGACAAGCAAGGTCACCTCCAGACCCCTGCTGTGCTGCTCCCTGGACCTCCAAGGCAAAAGAGGCTCTGCTTCCTGCAGCCAAGGGGGAGCAGAGGGCTTCTGCTTTGTGCATTTTCTAAGTGCCTGCAGATTCTAGTAAGAAGGGGTGCTTCCCATGCACACCCCAAGTTCCACGTGTGAGTGGCTGGACCCTACAGCAGCCTGATGTGACTGCCCTAAGGACACCTCCACATCATGGGGAGCCCAGCGCGTGAGCCGCAGGTTGGGGGCCATGGTAGGCATACTCTGCCCTTGCCAGCCCAGTTACTCGGACTCCGATGAGGAAGATCGAGTGGTCTGTGATCTAAATGCCCCACCACGCTCCCTGTAAATAGCTCAGAATGTCACCACCTCGCCTCCTCCCAAGGGAAATTCTGCACCTGTCCTAGGTGAAGGCTCTTGTGTATGTTCTCGGTGCTCGGAGGCGAGCTCTAAGATGGCGCTCCCAGGACAGCAGCACTGTCCTATCTTAAATGACACTCATCCACAACACTGCAGTGCGTAGGGGTGGGGGTGAGTGCCCCGTACCGGCCTGCTTCCTCTGGCTCCTGGGCCGACGGTGGCTGTGTGCCTGCGGCTGGATTCTGCTTTTGCAGCCAGGCTGGTCCAGCCTGCCCACTCCGCAAAAGGAGGTCGACCAAAGCGCCCTCCACATCCTCAGTCCTCATCAGGGACACGCAGCTTCATGGGAAACCGCATCCAACTCACCCCAGCTCTGCTCACCCCAGGCAGCACAGACTGCCCGATGCCAGTGCAAAGGGCATCAGGATGCACGAGCCCTGCTTTTCCTTTTCTCGTTAGAGTGGCACGGTTCATTCGCAGCAGAAGAAAACAAAAGAAACACCCCTCAAAGTACGCAAGGGCTTCTGAGTACGACTCCCCAAACTTTTTTTTATTCACACTCGATCGCTAGATTCATTTTTCATATTATAATTGATAAACAGTAATTGCATACCCTTCTGCAGTACAACGTGTGCTGACATGGTGGAAAGGTTAAATCAGGCTAATTAGCAAGCCTGTCGCACCGTGTGCCTACGTTTTGTTGTACAAATATTTCACATCTACTGTTTCAGCTGTTCTGAACTCTACGAGGCCCGTGCCAGGTGCCATATTGTACAGCAGCTCACCAAAGCATTCTTGTCTCACTGGCATGATGTTCCCTTTCTTCTGGGCACATAGATCTCAACATACTGTTCCTACTTAATACTGCAGTGTGACGATTCCCCGTTAGATCTTGTTTTATGAGGCTGCCCCAGATGCCTGCATAGTACAGACGCCCCTTTGATTGACGATGGTCATAGCCCCGTACAGCTGAAAATACACAGGGAAAGTGCATTTAATGCGCCCGACCTGCCGAACCTACAGCTTAGCAGCAGGACGGGAGGCGGAGTGGGTGGGTGGTGCCCTCAGGGCTGCCCGGGGCCACAGGCACGCCAGTGTCCGTGTCCAAGAGAAAGGCTCACCTTATATATCCCCAGCTCAAGGAAGGTCCATATTGCACT